ATTTATTTAATTTATATCCCGCCTATCTGGACTATAAGTCCACTCTAGGTTCCTATGCAGTATTTTTCTTTGTAGCATTGGACTTTCCTTTCACTTCCAGGCACGTCCACAGCTGAGCGTCCTTTCGGCTTTGGCACAACCACTTCATTAGCTCGGGAGCTACTTGTACTTGTCCTCTGCTCTTCCTCAGTAGCATGTTGGACGCCTTCCGACCTGAGGGGCCCATCTTCCAGCGTCATATCTTTTAGCTTTTTGTTTCTGATCATGGTGGTCTCAGTCTAGTTGTTTTAGCTTTTAATAGTTCAGACTTGATTTCATCTAGAATTTATTTACTTGTCTTTCTAGCAGTCAGTGTTATACATACAGGTCTCTTCCAGTACAACAGTTCAATTTTTTTCTCAGCTATCTTCATTGTCCAGCTTTCACATCTGTACATAGTAATCATATGTTATAATTCCTTCTATTGGGTGGAACATTTGGGAAGAAAAATAGTATTCCATTGGCACGAAGCAAAAGGGTTGTCACAACAGCATTTGTTTTTGTAAATAGCAGATGCATAAAACTGGGAGATATTGTTTACACCTGTTCTGATCATCTTGCAGATTGCAGCTTTACATTATAAATCTAGTGTTGATTCTTCAATAGAATATGACTCTGAGGCCATAAAATATGGAGCATAAGGGTTAATATAATTTATATAAAGAGAACAAATTTTAATCTACATTTGTCAACCTAAAAAAAGTTATGTGAGTAGTTTGTGGCAGGCTCTTTTTCTTTTTCTTACTAATTACTAGTTCATATTCTTATAAAATAACTTAGCCTGAGAAACATATACTTTTAATGCCACCAGAAATTATGTCCTCTTGTTAAATTTTTAATTTAATTTAATTAATTTTTAATTATTTTTTAATTCAGTACAGTAGGGAAGGTATTAAAAGCACCATTAGAAGCCTATAGACAGCACTGAACATTTTTGCACTCTGGCCATGCCTTCTGATATCACAGTGATCCTGGCTGTTGACATTTATCAAGGCCTCTGATTGCCATTAGCTTAAATTGGGGGATCTGATATCATAAAGTGACTTACCAATGCTTTCTTGGAGTTGCTTAGTGTACTAGCTAGGCAAGTTTGAAATAGTGGCTTTGCATTTGATGTCCCTTAGCAACTGAGAAAGTTAATCCTTTTCATCTTTGCCAGTATTCCATATGCTTTCAGGTTATACCTTCCTGGTATAAAAAATGCCATTGGCCTTTGAGCCTTTCAGTGGAAATGGAGACAACATCCTGTGCATTTGTATGCAGGAATTAGGAGCTTTGATCTGATGCACAAAGAAATTTGGAGCTTGAACGTACACAGCTGAGTGCTTGGCTGCACCTGAAATCAGCAGTAGTCAGCATGGAATGTGTCTAGAAAATATGGCAACACTGGTTTCATTTAAAACAAGTCTTTTAACTAAAACTAAGTGAAGTTGAAATAGTTTCTCTTGAGCAAACTAGACTGCTATAAAGATTAAACGAAGTCAAAAAGAATATGTCTAACAGAGTATCTCATATTTTTTGCATTCCTTTTCAGCAAAACCTGGGAACTGCCTATGATAATGTTTTGTTTCAATCCAGTCCCAAAACTCTCCCACCGAGTTGAGTGAGCTCCATGTCAGGATCAAACTCAGTATCTACTGCCAAAAAAGAGAACGTGTAGTATTGCAATGTTTGTTTATCTCAGTGTGGCACTAATATTTTTATTTACCAGATCTGCTGAGAGGAAGGATTTGTCTAAGAAATTATGTCACTAGCATCCAAGATAAAGAGATATAGAGCTACAGTAATGAAAAGCTATGGAATTTATGGATACAATTAAAATAACCTTGTTAAATTTGCACAAGAGCTGGAGTTCTTTGATCTCTATGTCGCTGAAATCCCCTTGTGTATGTTACACTTGTGGAAAGGTGATGATGTCACCAGCTGGGGAAATTTTTTTATAGTTATTGACTTCCACCTTCTCTCCTGCTGCTTGAATGACACAAAAAGGTTCCTTTTTTCATATGGGAGCCATGGCCCTAAAGGAAGAAATATTTAATTACTGATAATCTTCATCTGCCAGTGACATAAACGCTCTTTTGGACATGTAACGTATGCAAGAGGAATTGGCCAGTATCTTTATTCCCTTCTAGTTATTACTGTGATGTTTGATAACATTAACAACAAAAATGTGCCATCAAGTTAATTCAAAGATACAGTGACTTTTTCCAGAGTTATCTAGGTATATATTATTCAGAAATGGTTTTTCATTCCCTTCACCTTATTCCTTACAAACCTTATCCATATCTAGATTTGCAACCTCTCTTTGCACTTATGTCTTGCTACAAGCTTTGATGGGTCAGTCATCTAAAACTAATTTGAATAGGTGAAGGTTGGGATGAAGTGTATATGTGCTTGTTTTTATTTTCTTTTGATAATAGGGTGGGGAAAAGAATGTTATGATGATCTTTCCCTTTGACAAGTATCAGATTGCTTAATTTATTTTTTACTCCTTTCATTATCTGATGCAAGGATTTTTATTGTAGATTGGATTTGGCAATATATGCACGCTTAAAAAAATTATAATCAGAGCAAGGCTCCTTGTTCCTTTGATGTTTTGTTTACAGGCAGATTTGCACTCCTGGAAGCCTCCTTCACAGCCCTACCTAAAACAGTTGTTCCTCCTCTCTGTGGTCAGAATTCCAGTGGAATGAGAAGGTTTTGGCAGAAATATTCATGGTGGCTGCGAAGGCCATGAGAACAGACCTCCCTTTCTAATGTCACAACTTCTTTTAAGACTCTAGCGAGAGAATTCTGCTTCATCTTGTCATCTGTTGAATGTTGTTTTTGGGCCACTGCATTATAGCCTTAATTTGTTTAGTTTTGTTTCATCTCCAGGAAAATAGGGAAACAGATGAAAAGTAAATAGTGTAATCAAGGGAATTGTTCTAACTGATAGAGGCATTTTTAGAACTGCAGGTTTTTTCAGTGTTATTTATGTCTCACTATATTGAAATAACTTTTTGTCTTCCTCAGGCAAATGAAATGTTGTTTAGTGGAAGGAAGCTAACTGCACAAGAAGCGTGTGCAAAAGGACTCGTATCTCAAGTTTTTTGGCCAGGAACATTCACACAAGAAGTGATGGTTCGAATAAAGGAACTCGTCACATGTAATTCAGTTGTAAGTTGCTTTTAGCTTCTTTCATTCAAGGTTGAATCAGCAAGAAAACTGTATGATTGACACTCATCATGAGTGGAAGAATTGCTGATGCAGAATTTTTGCTGCTGCTCCTTTGGAACCTCTTTCAGCCCAAGAGTGGCATTCAATTTCAAGGATGTTGTTTGGGGCTCAGTCCATTGGTGGGCAGGGCCTGAGACAAAAAGGTAGAATCCAGGATCCCAGCATGTTTTAGTATAAAGCTCCTGCCAAACATTAAGCCATAAGAGACTCATTTCAGCCTTTTAGAATGGAAAAAAAATGAATGCAAAACCTGGGAAACCAACAAGCAGTGGTGTCAGAAGGAAGGAGACTTGGCCATCTGGAGAAACCAACTGGCACCCCAGGGCCTAAGCTTCCTTACCTGTGATATAGTCATTACAGCACATTATTCACTCTTCCTTTAAGTATATACCCAAATGCAAGTCAGGAGAGCTTTGCATGGAGAGGGAAGCAAACTGATCCAGTGAATAGCATCCTAGCATCTGATAGTTAGACATATTTCTAATGCCTACAATTAATAAGCTATCAAAACTGTTCAGGGCCCTTTTTTGTAAATCGGGGGGGGAGGGAAGTGTTCAGATATTTAAAAGTAAGACTAATTTCTGTAAATATAAGGACCACTTGCACTGAGCAGGCTGACTAAAATATTTCTGTTCTAGTTTGAAACAGTAAATGAAAAGGAACATGAGGTCCTTTTCTCTTTTTGTGCTTTTTGAAATGCATTTGATACCTGAACAGAACTTTTAAAGTTATGGGATTCTTTGTTGTGTTTGACTGGACAAAATACACACACACACAAAAAAAACTTACTCTTGTCGCATCAAAGTATATACGTGGTTTCATCCCACACATGGCCATGCTTACATAATAACAATATGCTTTCATGCAATGCAGAGGCTGAATTCCATCTCAGTTAAAGTCACAGCAATACAGTAAATGCAATAAAGTTATTTTAACATTACATAATAATTACTGATAATATTTTATGATCTGTATTAATTTCTAAGTTATTCATACACCTTGGCCTCAGGATAGATAAGTCTTTAACAAATAAGTAATCTAAAATCCACTGACAATATTTTAAGTGTTGTTTTGAATATATAAATCACTTTATGCTACGCTAGTCTTTTTAAGAGTAATTCCATGTTGTTTACTAAAATCTACTGATATCTCAGTGAGACTTCTAGGTGTGGATTGCAGCTTCAACCTGTTTGGATTTAGTGCATAGTCTCGGAAAGAGATGCTTATATAACCAGATCTATCACACAGACAGCTGGCACCCTCCACAAACCAACAAAGACTGGGGTGATATCAAGGGCTGCATTCACATTACAGATTTCTTATATGCTCCCCAACCTTAATTATACCCGAGGGATGCACATATTTCTTAACTAAGTTGCTTAGAGCAATTAAATCTCTGTCATGCTTAAACACAGAGACAAGTGTAACATTTATTCTTAATTCTAACACTACATAATAGAGAGTATAGTCTTGCAGAAATGTCACTTTTGGTGTTAACTTCTTGTCAATCATTGACCACTTATTTAAAATTTATGGTGATGTATTCTACAGCACTGGTGTGGGGGAAAACAGATGCCCTCATACAGTAAACCGTGTTCAATGGTTAGTTTCCCTAAATAAGTGGAGGGAGCAAGGACCTCATGCTGCAGCCTTGCTGTCTCCACTCCCAACCTCCCTGTGGTGCCAGAAAGGTCTGAAAAGGAACTGTAACTACGCCTTATTCAAATGAACATAGCTGCAACTCTCCATACAGTTGAAATTCCAGCTCATGAGAGTACAACCAGAAGCTTGTTAATGAACAGGAGTTTGCAGCTGAGACTTACACTGTTCCCTGATGCAAATGTGAATTGGTAATAGGATTCTGGCCAGCATTCAAAAAACTTTCCACAGCACTACATCAGTGGAATGCTATTTGCCTTGACTGTCTTAAATTTAGTAAAGAAAACTATTAATTAGACAACAATCATTCTGTATCTGAGATGTTTTTCCTTTAGCCAAATGTAATTGAACTGAAATATTTTCTAGAATACAAAAGTTACATTCAAATGTTGTCAAAGTTTCACATGTAACTTAGTGTTCCTGTGGAAAATGTATCATGTCTTAAAAGGAAGCCGAAGAATATACACATCTCTATGATCATTATGCAGATTTTTTTTCTTTTAATGGAGTTAGAAGTATTGATATCCTGATTTTAGCATGCCTGGAGAGCTATGCTCATAAACCATACATGCTTCCTCTGTGCAGTCATCTAAGAAAATTAATTACAGTGTTGACTTTTGATTACATTACATTAAATCCTATGGTATAAATTTATGCTGATGGAAACTGATGTCATTGGCTGGTGCAGGTAAAATGTAATTTAAAGTATTTAAAGGCCTCTGACTCCCCCATTCCCTGCTGTAGATTCATAGGCTCGCTAAGGCTTTCTTCTGTTGTGTGAAAACCTTTCAGAGCCTTAGGACAGAAGGGGGAAGTCTTTAATTGCCAAAAATCACAACCAGATCACTGGTGGCTGGTGGTGGCAATCTGGTGATTAAATGTTGCCCACTCGTGTCCCAAGGCTCCCAAGAGATTCCCTGGGGCAAAAGGAGCCATAGAGAGCATCAGAATCTAAAAATAGGGTTTTAAGAAGCTTTTAATTAATTTAAATTATCAGAAGCTTCCACCAGTATAAAGTTATGCCAACTGGATTTTGGCCATTGTTTCCATTCTGGTTGCTTATTATTTGACTGGAATTGTGCTCATTTATTTATGTTGCATCACCTCTGCTGTTCATTTCAGTATGAAGTTGCAATTAAAGCTGAACTGGGGACAGAGTTGGAAATATCTAAAGAGAGAGAAAAGTGTAGTAAAGTAATAAGACATTGTGAAGTAAAGGAATAAATCTATTGGTGACATGTTCTGGTCTGTCTTCCTACATTTTGCTACTGTCATGGTGGATTTACTAATGTAAACTTTGCTGGGGGCCACAAAAATGACTGGGGTGCTCATGTAGTCTGCTTGCCACATGTTGCCCACTCTGGTGTAAAACAATAGAATAGGGGGCCTTTTAAAGCACTTTTCTTCATATACAGATATGTGTATCCACTGACTTCTCCATCCTTATATCTTATTAAGTATGTCCCTGTATATAGTCTGTCACATGCCTTTCTTCTGCTAAGTGAACGGCTGTTCACTCTTGCAAGTTAAAAGTGCTGCCTTTTAGGATACTGCTGTGGGGAGGGCAGAACCTGCTTGTCCATCTGCAGGATGCAGCTCACAGATGTATTACATCTGCCAAACACGGCTGAGCAAGTGTACTTCTGCACACATCTTATATACTCATCTTAATGGTGGTACATGTATAATTTTTATGTTATCTTGCTTATGTGTTGGTGTTTTTTTTTAACGTAGGTACTTGAAGAATCCAAAGGTTTAGTTCGTAGTATTATGAAGATGGACTTGGAACAAGCTAATGATAAGGAGTGTGAAGTTCTAAAGAAGATTTGGGGTTCTGCTCAAGGAATGGACTCAATGTTAAAATACTTGCAAAGGAAGATAGATGAATTTTGAAGAAATGTGCATTGACACTGGAATTGTACTTACTGGGACGTCTAGATTTCATGGATGCCCTAACTGAATTTAAAAATCTAACATAAAACTTGCCCCATGCTCAGAAAGTGTGGGACTAAAACCTGAAAATGTGGTTTTATTGTTAAGGGTTTTTGTTTAAAGAAAAAAAGTACTGTATGTTAAGCATTGAACAAATTTCCTTTCTCCATATATAGATATAAATATATATATTATATTTCTTTATATACACAAACTAAAAAAAATGTAATGGAGTGCACTACCAAACCTTTGTCTTCTACTTTGTTATCATTGGCTAGTACTGTATTAGGAGAAAATGGCAGATAAAATGAGGAGTTGCGTTGTTTTCTATGTGGCAGGAAGGCCCTAAAGCAATGAGATATTTTTTCACTAGAGTACAGAACTAAAACGGGTATTGGCCAGCCCTTACTTTCACTGCCCAAAAAAGTCAGTCAAGAGGAGGCATCGCCTTGAATTCTGAGGAAGGTTAGAAATACCTCAAGTACCGATGTATTCTAAAAATCAATTATTTTTAAAAAGAATAAAACCCTGCAACAAAATGTATTTTCTCTCCTTGCCCCGCCCCTCAAAATGAGTGTGCTCAGGATTTATGGTATATAAAAACACTCAGTCCTACTTGTTTTGGGGAATATGCCCAGTTCTTACCCAGATAGCATGAAGAAGCCAGTCTCTTACGGGGGGAAGGAGCTTCGTTTTGCAGTATTAGTGAATCACTGAAATACCATATATTCTATGGATATTTTAAATTATACCTTAGTCTTAGTGGGTTTTATAAAAGAAAATAGTGTTTTTTTAATTATTTTAACTACATAATTGCTTCTGTTGCTGAGGGTGGGAAAACTATACTACATATAGATTTTTTGTTTTGTTTTTTGGGGTTTTTTTTTTGTTCTTCTGTTTGCTGATTTAATTAATGAATTACACCAAAAATGTGTACTATGGTCTTTTTTTAGTTTCACGTAGAATATATTTTATTTAATAAGTTAAAATTCTTTTGGCACACTATTAAATATTACGTTTTTTTTAAAAAAACTACCTTAGATGTTTAATGTCTTTTTTGGGGGAGTCAGTGCTTTTTCATTTTAGTTACACACTATGGCCCTGATCCAGAGATCTTTCCATGTAACAACAGGCTGCATTTATTCTGCGGTGTATGAAGATCTCCACCATAAAATCAGGCAGTTGTTGCAGTTTGCTAATAGCCTGTTGGAGAATGGGTGGCAGATTACGCTTCAGGCAGAAGTACCTAGCATACACAGAACACCTGGATGCGAAATGTCTGTCTTCTCAACACACAGTGTGTGTGTCTCCCCCCCGAACACAGTGCACACTTGAGCACATGGGACTGCATCCAGAAAGGCAATTTGCTTATGAAAGCCTATCCTCATGTGCATATTGCCACTTCTGGATCAGGATGGATAATAATGCAATGAGCTGTACAAGAGTGCCCTGTGTAAATGGACTTTGCATTCCTTTCCGGAGTGTATGTTGATTCCTGGCTTCAGATACTGATTAGTACTTGGGTATCTGTGCTTGCAATCTTACTGAATGTATGAAGAATTGTGGGTGGGTGGGGGGAGGGGAGGGGGAAATCAAACCTTATTTTTGTACAGTTTGGAACTTTATACTTGGAGCCTGACCACCTCATCCTAACGGAGAGATGTACAGTGTGTAAATCTGCTTTTACCTTGGATTGGTACAGTATTTTTGCATCTGTGGGACCTACTTTTTTGTTGTTCTCGTAGTTTGAACTATATATAAACTGTACAATCTGTAAAGTTTTTATAGAATAAATATTCAGCTGTGAACTGGTTAAAATAAAACTAATATTTCTTAACATCTCTTAAAAGTGCTGTCATGTGTACTCATCCTTTCACTACCCTACACATTTCCCAATTTGTTGTAGTATCGGTGCACACTGTAGGTTTTGCTCAGACAGACTACTTTTTTTTCATTTGTCGGTAGAGCAAATTTCAGAAAGCATATGAAATGTCAGCAGATCAACCCTTCAATCTGTTATACTTCTTAGATGCTGGGATGTAGATACAATGGATTAGCCTTTCCTTTCGGTGTCAAGAGGAATGGTTAGTTTCTGCTAGAAACCGCATTTGCATTGTCTCTTACACCTGGGGAGGGGGGGAATACATTATGCTATTCTTTTCCCAGAATATTTCCTTCTGGATATAAGAGCAATTACTATACTATAAGAACATTTATACTATACTATAAGAACAATCAAAGCTACCAACAAGAATTTGACCGAACGCTGGGAGGCAGTGGAAGACAGGAGGGCCTGGTATGCTCTGGTCCATGGAGTCACGAAGAGTCGGACGCGACTTAACGACTAAACAACAACAAAGAACAATTACTATAAGAGCATTTCAGAATCTACACAGTAACTTCCTTTTTCCCCATCAGTCAGTGGGCAGATTGGTCTGGACCCAGTGCTGTCAAACCACTTATCCAGTGATCCATTGCAGAAGTGGTCTGGCATCCTCATAGCATGCAAGTGGAAGCTGCATTTCAGCCATTCCCAGTCATTTGAATGTGCAGTGAGTATAGTGGGCCTTTCTATTGAGCTACATACAGGTACACCCAAAGAGCATTTCCCTCCACCAATGTTAGCCTGGATCTTAGCCAGTGGAGGAAATTAGGGAACCAGCTTGTGGTACCTTTTTTTAACGATTGAAGACACACATCCCATTTGTTTACTGATTTTTTTAAAAAAAATCATTTTACCTTATTGAACCAGTATTATAATAAATCTAGAAACTACACCATTTTCTTTTATCAATGAGTTATGTAGCCATGCTACGTCTAATTAGGCCAATATGTACATTACTTAATGTGAGGGCACTATCCTTTTTTTAAAAAGTCAGTTTCCCTTCCACATTTCTTTTATAATCTGTGACTAACCTTATACATACTGTTTAGCAGGTGAATATATGGAACGAATATATACAGCAGTATATATGTCCTTGTGCCTCAGTATCTGTGAACTGGCCAAAAAATTTTTGAACAACTTTGACATGTTATCCCCTCATATCTCTTAAATCAGGAGTCCCCAATCCCCGGTACCAGTACATGGCCATGGCAGCACCGGGCTGTCGAGACAGATCTCCCCTCACACACACACTCTCCCCCCCCATGCACCCTGCACGCACGCACGGCTTGCCACCTGCATGCATGGATGCCCCACCCAACTACAAGCACACCTCACCCCTCTGCGCATGCATGTGAGTGCACCCTGTCCCTCTACGAACACGCTCCGCCCCTCCACGCATGCGTACAAGTGTGTCCTGCCCATCTGTGGACCCCACCACCTCAACCAGTCCACAGTTCTGAAAAGGTTGGGGACCATGGCCTTAAATAACACACACACAAGAGAGGGCTATTTGGCTGTTTTGTGGGTACTTCTGAAGAAATATTTAAACTTGAACAAAATCTTACAGAATAAAAAAGGCAAAACTATAGAGGTTCCTGTGCATAAGAATAATACATTGTAAAAGAGGCAATGGCCAGAATCTTATTGGTTACTTACATACACACAAGAGGAATTCAGGAAGTTGCCATTACTAATTGATGTGTTATTTGCATGTCAGTTGAGTGCCCAGCAAAAACCTGGCACTTTGTCAATTACAGTGGATATAAAAAGTTTACACACCCCTGTTAAAATGCCATGTGTCTGTGATGTAAAAAAAAATGAGACAAAGATAAATTAGCCTCACCAACCTGCACAATTCATATTATGTATGCATTGATAGCCAATAGGATATGAGCCAGTTTGAGAAATACTACGGTAACAGAAATGTGAATTATGTTCTTTCTCTTAAAAATTTGGCAAAAAGAAAAAGGGTTTTGAGATGTTGGATCTTAGTCAGTGTTTACAATTTTTCCCCTTGCATCTATGGACTGGTTTTCTTGTTCTTCCTTCTCTGTGGGTCATAATTCTGTCACTTGGTACTGTAGGACAGCAATGGAGCAACGTCATCTACATGTTGTTGGCAAGAATTCCCGCTTGGCCTTTCTGAGGGGCTGCAAGCTGCTACTGCAGCCACAAAAGATCAGGTACTTTAAAAACCGCCCAGCATTAACTACATTTTACAGATGTTTACTAAATACAGTATCTCAGAAGTTCTCAGCCAGCAGTTTAAGCAATTATACTTGTAAGCAATAAGTGGTTGGCAGTCCACTCCTCTGTTGCCCAGAGGCATCAAATTCTAGCCAGGAAACAGATGACAGTCAGGATTGACAGCATTCCTTTCCACAAGTGCTTTGTATACTCAGTCTTGTAGGAAACAATGCAAGCTAGTGGATGACATCACTACACAGCACATTGCATATTCAGAGATACAGTACTTTGTTAAGCTCTTGGTCGTTCAGTAGTTTCACTTCAGGTTATGAATAGCTTCATAGAGCACTGTAGCTGTGGCCTCAATGACATCACTAAGCACCAGTGCCAATTATGAATCACTGAATAATTATCTCACAATCCACTGAGGTGAGATGTCACTCTGCTCCCCATAAACCATTTGAACCCAGGCGTCAAAATTGTGCAACACTGCCAAGGCGGTGAACCAAATAATTATATGCAGATTAGAAGAGCCAATTGAACTATATAATAGTGGGGAAGGGCATCTCAGATTCTTGAAGCCATGGATTGCAATAACTGATTAGGTGAAGGGTTGATCCTCAAGCACAGGAATGCGTCCTGCAGCTATGCCCTGAATCATCAGGCTTGAAATAACATGTAATCAGGCTTCCAGACTGAGGGCAGACTGTTACTTGAGAGGTGTGGGACATGAGTCCTAGGAAACGGGTGGCCTTTCACTAGACAAAGATGCATTTGCCCAGTTGATGAAGGCACATCTGCAATTTGGAAACCCCTTGTGTAACAGAATAAAATCTCACCTCACAATACTGTATTTGCCTGTGCTTAAACTTTAGTAGACTATACAATATTTTCCAGGATGGAAACAAAAGCTGATCTTGCTTCTGATTATTGAACTATATGAGACCCCATAGTTTAATTCATGAAAGAAAGTAGTTAAAGATAGAAAAATCCTGATTTTTGTAATGGGATAATTCACTGAGATTTTTGTTATGATGCTGTCAAATCACTTCTGACTTTCTGTTAATAAGCTCCAAAAGGTCTTAAAATGGACAGTCACACCCCGTATCTTACAAACTAAATACTGTGGTTTCTTTTACTAAGCCACATTTGTACTTTGTATTTTCCCTACTTGCCGTGATACATCCTAAATATAATAGTCTCAGTGTAGCCAATTTTGGCTTCTATGAATAGTTCAGACTTGATTTGACCTAGGACCTAATTATTTGTCTTGCTTTTTCCTATCAACTTTCTTCATTGTCCAACTTTCACATCCGTACATAGTACATGTAATTGGGAATACCACAGTATGGATGATCCTCATCCTGACCGCCAGCAACACATCCTTAACATTTTCTAGCTTCTTTATAACTACCATTCTGAATCTCAGACTTCTTCTGTTATCTTGCATCCAATCTCTATTTGTAATGTTTTGTTTTAATTTTAGCAGCTGCTAGGTATTGAAAGAACGCAGTTTAACTATTTTTATTGAGAAATAAACACAACAACGCCAATAATGGAATGGCAAGTTATTTTCCCTATCCTAATAGATTGTTCCATGGAGTTCCAGGTGAACATGGAAGCTTTTTGGTCCATTTTCTGTCTTTCTGTCTTCTATTGCATAAATATAATAAATCTTTGCTCATTAGCTCTTAACAGTTCTTGTGTCTGCTACCCAGACACATTTATAACACCTATTTAAAGACAATTCTTTATACATCTTTCAGTTTTTCGGCCAACTCTTGTCCTGTTACCACAAGTAGAAATGGCAAATTAATGTATAAAAGCTTAATATTTTCATCTGTAAATAGATTAAATAGGGCTAGCAATGGATGAAAAAAAGTTTGTTGACTCATTACAGTGGTGCCTCGCTTAACGATTAATGGATCAAAAAAGGTTTGTTGACTCATTATATGCTCTAATTTTATTCCGTAACACTGGAATGTTTGGCAATTGGTCTTTTAAGAATTTGGTCAGTCTTTTGTTGGCCTTGTGCAGAAGAAATCATAGACCTTATGTAGCCAAGCAGGTTTCTGATTTGCAAATTGCATGATTTTTTTCTGGCAATAAAACAATAGATTATATCAAATTGGGATTAATGGGCAAACTTTGGATGTCAAATATTGTTGCCAAATTTTTCTCCAGGTAGAATTATTATTTTTTGGTTTCCTTTAAATTCAAGGGGTTCAGCAGAGTAAAAGCATGTGCTTCTGCTGATATACATTCTGGTCTCATCAGGATACCTTTTCATACTAAAGGTGATAAGCAGTGTGGTATTTAACTATGTCTGGTATATCCAGATTTCCTTTTTTTTTTTAGTTCTTGATATATTAATAATGTAGTCATCTTGGGCTTTTTATTTAGAAAACCAATTTCATCAATCAGCTTTATCTAATTTAATAAAGTGTTTACTGGAAATTTCATCAATTTATCTAATTTAATAAAGTGTTTACTGGAAGAACAGTGGGTTTTCAATAGAAGGTTGGTTCTTCTTCATGGTCTCTGGGAATGTATACAAATGGATTATACTGCACCTGTGCAGAGGCTCTTGGAAACTTCGAGAGCTTCTGTCGATATTTAGTGGCTCCAGAGGTGATCCTTGATATATTGTAGTGCCCTTCAAGGAGGACAACTACTCCTGGGACAAGGTTGCTTGGAGTTGGGATGACTGTATTAATGCCAAAATCATATGACATGGTTGTTTCGACATCAGCTGGA